TCTATATTACAACTAACGTTGTCAGAGCACGAGAATATATTTATCAGTGGGGAAACACTGTGGACGGTACTAAGGTTGAGGAGATGCTTGGAGAGGGCTCGTGGGTGCCTGTTGTGGTGAGTTCAGATTGTCCACCACTCTTTCCTATTGACTCAGATGAGCGACTCAGAATAAATTCGTCGAGAAGTTGGGAGCAATAGGCCTTGACCCGTTTCGGATGCTCGTCGTGGATTTCAGGCACGAATGCGAGCTGGGTACGTGGAAGGCATTATTCACCCATCTCATCAGGATTCTTTCTGTGCTTCCGGGGGGAAATCAGTTAGTTGCGATCCTAGACTCAAGGTAAGTGAAGTTTTCATACAGCATTTATCGCGTAATAAGGACCAAACTCTATCCTCCTATAGGTTTCGTCAGGTTCCATCTTTCAGTAATGGGGTGATTCGAATATTCGCAAACAACACATCTGAAATGAAGAGACTCGCGGCACGAGATTTTGAAGATATCCTGCAGGTTTGTTCCCCTTTTACTTGACCAATAACTATGCTGATTGCCTCTCTTCAGTGTGCGATACCCGTGTTTGAAGGCCTATTTCCTACTGATCACGACGCAATCGTGCAGTCTCTCTTATATAGATTCGCACAGTGGCATGCACTGGCGAAGCTCAGAATGCATTCTGAGTCGACCCTATGTTTCTTCGAGAACACATTCAAGGATCTATCTAAGCAGTTGCGGGAGTTTCGCGAATTTACCTGCGCCGCCTTTGTCACTGTGGAATTGCCGAAAGAGAAGGCAGCTCGCTATCGAAGGTTCGCGAAGCAAGTTGGATCTAATGATGTCCCCCCAGAATCTAGCAGACCGAGGGCGAAAAAGTTTAATTTGAATACCTACAAGTTTCATGCAATGGGAGATTACGTGCGGACTATCCGGCTCTTTGGTACGACGGATTCTTTTACCACTCAGATTGTGAGTGTCTTGCATAGCCCTCAAGGGCATTTTTGACATTATGTTATTGCTTAGGGAGAGCTGGCGCACAGAGCCTTAAAAGCATTTTATCCTCTAACTAGTAAGCTTGACCCTCCAAAACAGCTGGCGAAGCATGAACGCAGGCGTCGTGTACTACGACGCGTTGCGGAAGCAGCGGGCATCTCCTCCTCCGACTACCAACCATCGCCAGCCGACTCTCCTGCTCCATCGTCGTTCAAAGATCACCACTATATATCAACCAATCAAAATGATCCGGTCTCATTGTTTGCATTTCTCCAGGAGCACGACGGCGACCCAGCCACTAAGGTAAGGGACCATTGTGCTTTTGTTCCAGTTGGCTGTCAGTTCGCTTATGACCGTTTTAGTGCTTCATTCCGAAACTAAAGGATCATATTTTGTACAGGCTGAATAAGCTAGATGTCAGCCATTGCGACCACGTATTTACGGACAAGGAACACAGTTCGGTCGTCATTCCTAACAGTACAGTCTACTCAGTTCACACAATGCAGGTCCACTATACGACTTACGACATGAAGCGAGAATACGATACCATCAATCCCAGAACACATGCGGATGTTATGGTTCTTTCGGGAGAAACCAACCCTAGACACCCATACTGGTACGCTCGTGTACTCGGTATCTATCACATGGACACGTGGCTCGAAGGCCAAACCAAGAAACAGCACCTAGAAGTCCTTTACGTTAGGTGGCTCGCACCACTAGTACCGTCGGATTATCAGTCTGGGATGCGACATGCCTGCCTTCCCAAGGTGGCATTCATAGAAGAGTCTGATCATGATGCATTTGGATTTCTCAATCCAGGACAAGTGATTCGAGGTGCTCACCTAATTCCTGCATTCGCCTCAGGGCGGGGTGTAAGTTCACTGCACCGCGGAACATCGTTCAGACGTCCCAGCAAGGAGGTGGATGATTGGGAAGAGCACTATGTCGGAATGTGAGTGTGTCGTGTCCCTCTCGTAATTTGTGTAAATACTGAATTATGTTTGAACTAGTTTTGCTGATCGCGATATGTTCTTGCATTATACACACTTAGGCATAGGACACTCAGTGGCACTGTGGAAGATCGTAAGAGACTGCTTTAACAACTACGAGTCAACAGCACCAACAGACGCTATAGAAGACAGCACGAGAATCGATGAGGGCCATGCAGAAGATGCTGGTGAGCAATATATGGACGATGATCTTGACGAAGAGGAGTCAGAAGACGAACATGATGGACTTGAAGGGGGGGAAGATAGAGAAGAGGCCGACGAAGAGTTCGATGACCTCCATTTCTGAAACAAATTGGTTGCCTAGTAGTAGCTGTTAATTGACATTCTTGACTGATTCATCAACCAACCTGTCTGGCACCCAGAGAACGAGGAAATTCAAAAGGTACGCCCTTCAAGTTGATTGACTCATGCTTTGAAATCGGTTTCGCTTGATCTCTTAGTTTGATGAAGACTCGCGTCTGGGTTCTTTAAAGCCTTAATGTTCAAATTAGCACATCGGATTGTTCGAAGACCATTTGCCCGAGGCTTTGAAGTCACGAATTTTGACTGTGCGAATTGATTCCAGAGCACTGCGCTGTTTCTGGTCTTTAAAAATTAAAAAAACTTAACTTAGTAATTCAGGTATCTGCCGCATACAAGTATGACACTGCGCCTGGTACAATCTGATGGCATTCCGAAGAGAATGATTGACAACATCAATGTTAGTGAGCTTTGAGATTTCATCCCTTGGTGGCCGCAACAGCGGCATGTCACAACTCTGCCATGAACCGCCAGGCCAAACTATATCTGTTGGCCGGTGCTAAAGCTATTATCCTTCGGAAAGCCTCAGATAACATTAAAATTGAGGTGACATTTGATGGGAGCTGAGAACGTTCAACGACATCAACACTGGTAAGCTCCCGTCCATTACTGGCTGCGAAGGTAGCATGTCACAAATTTGCTGCCGATTGTCAGGCCGATCTCTATCTGCTGTAAAGGGTTAAAGCCGTTGTCCTGCCGAAAGCCTTATATACCATTAAAATCAAGTCAATATTTGATGGGAGCTGAGAATGTTCAACAATATCAACGCTAGTGAGCTTTCGTCTATTGCTGGCTGCAAAGGCAGCCTGTCATGACTTTGTTGCTAACCGTCGGACCAATCTCCGTCTCTTGTCAAAGATTAAAGTCATTGTCCTGCAGAAAGTCTTGAATAATCTCTCAATATGAAGCATACATGCTTGCAAGTGAGAACGCTCGATAATACGGACACCATTGCGCTCATGTCCGTTGCTGGCTGCGAAGGCAGCTTCTTATGACTTTGTCGCAGACTCCTCCAGCGAGCATGTATTGCTGACCATGCATGGCTAAGTACGATCAAGTCAAATTTCTCGTGGGATACATAGTCATATTTGGTAGGAGCAGAATTACACGATACTACAGCTGCAATGACTACAATTTCAAGGACTCGTGCGTTCACTGATGAATGTGTAAGTATCACCTATTCGGTACGGGACACTCGAGATCTAACAATGTTGTGTCAAAAAGGTCATCAACGCTCAAGAACGTGATAACGAAGATGATTCAAAGATTTAGGTGATGTATCCTCTCGCGACTTCCTCTCGCGGGCAAGCGACGAGACGGCGCCGGTATTATCCCAACTTTTGTGCATTCCTGTCACTACAAATATGATAGGCAACCAGGCTGAACCGTTTATTCTTGGCTGTGAACTCTACCTTCATCATCAAGAATGCAGCCTAACTCGAAAGACACAAACGCCCTCCTGCTGTATCTGATTCAGACCGCTGCTGATGGTCCGAACGTTACGAATGACAGCACTCTTCCCTCGTCGACGGGATATTCTTCAACTGGTATGGATGCAAACACTCGCCTATGCTAGCCTCGTGTTCAGCATCTTGGCCGCTTTCGGCTAGTAAAGCAGTGGCTCAATGCTTCTAAGGCGGCTCGCGGATGAGGGTCTTTGGAAGAACGCGACGTGCATGATCAGAGGAAACGGGATGGGCTGGAACACTTTCACCTCCAGACCGTCTTGCACATGCTCGTGCTCCTCTAGATCTCACTACTCCCACTGATCTGACTTGTCCCTCAACGCCGACATGTGGACTCAGTAAACGGCAACATCCAGCATCATCATCTGCACCACCGCGTTCGGCATCCTCTTCTACGCAAGTAATCCTCGTTAACACCTGGACAGTTCTTTCCAGACACCAGGAGCAAAGCTAATAAGAGCTATCTTCAGAAAAGTCCTCCCGGACAGATCGCCGATGGCGTATTCATTACAATGTCTGTCTACTAGAATTATCAACAAACCCGGAAGTTACAACTGGAATGGTACCTCTCGTGCAATGGGCGTGAGATCCTCATCTACGATATAATAATTTCAAGACTTATCGGGACAAGGAAGAGGTATCTGTGAAGTGTGGCAAGGCCATGACCGGCGCTCATAGTCGCCTGAAATCCGTCAAGATCTTTGTTTGAAAGGTACTGTAATCATCCTCCATCTGGCCGACTTGGATAGCTAGTCTTTCGGGTATCTGAATTCAAGTTCGCTCGCTCAGAGTAACGTGCACGGTGCAGCGCCCATTTTACAGTTGTCATAGCGTTGGATTGGACATAGCGCATATCGTAGCATAAAAATGATGCAGGAATTACAGTTTTTGCTGAGTGAATGCTCAACCGAAGCCAAAATCCAACGACGCGTGGTGGAATTGAAATGCAGAAAGCGCTGCACTTGCAACTCAAGGGGAAAGGGAGACGAGATATAAAAAGATGCGAGTATTGCGAAACGATGATTGAGTGAGCGCTCCTGTCCTCCTTTTCTATCATGACAGTAGTCCGCCGGCCCTCCAGCCGAAGGAGAGAATTCCTCTCGAGTGTATTTATTTTTCGGGGTTGGGGTTCCTGGAAGTAAGATCGGTTCATTAGTACTTCGAAATACCAACAAAGAATATGGGAGAGCAATGCGTGTGAAGGATCGGCTCATCGATATCATCAAGGACTCAGTACTCACATTCTCCGCTTGCCTCCAGGGAGCGTTGTTACGTTCACGAATCTGTCAGGCCAGTTAGCTTGAACCACAGAAGAACTGGGGTGATACATACCTGCGGTTGTACAAGATGCGCTTCTTAGCACGGCCCTTTGGCGTTTTCTTCTTCTCCTGCTTATCAACCTTTGGTGTTTGCGACTTAACCTTACCGGCACGCGCGAGAGATCCGTGAACTGTTCATGATGCAACGGTCAATATGTGCGGATTGCGAGCGCGAGCAGCCTTACCTTTACCCATGGTGCTTGACGATGACGGACTTCGACACTACATGCACGTGAGTAGCCAATTTAGTGCTGTATAGTTTAGAGAGATAAGGTTCCGGCAAATGCCGAGGATAGAACGCCTCTCCATCAGCACTGCTCTCCATTCTAATGAATATTCAGAAGTGACTGAATTAATCGTAAATTATTCTTAGTACAACGCACAAGATGTACCACGCATGTAGCTCGTTAGTAAATAGTCCATATATAATTCCAAGTCCGTATCAAGGTAGATAAATATCTATGCATTAATTCAACATCATGCCAAGCTGCGCCAACATAATTTGTCGCTATCAAGACATAAGGGAAGGGGTATCGATGATCCATAAAGTGTTTCACAGGCACACGTCGTCATAGAGGACACTATGTATGGCTCTATTTTCTCGGGCGCGAGGTCGTATGACGATCACGTCGGACATTGGTCTCGTGCTAAGGGGCACACATCTGGGACCAAGCAACCCAGACATAGAGCGTGGCCTAGAAGATGACTCGCTAGGAGTTTCTTGAGGGGGCAGGCCCAACATCTCGTACAACTCTCTCTGAGCTTGCGCTAAGGCTCGAGCACCAGAAAATGACGTGTTCGAAGTGGATCCTATATTGATAAATGTTGTGAGATACAGAACTGTGGTTATAAATGGAACGTTAACTTGCCTAGAGAGCTACGACCAGACATGTTTGACGGGACAATGCCAAACGGTGCGTGTAAAGGTAGCGGCGGCACCGGAGGGATGTCGTCTGAGGTGGCAGACATCGACATCACCAGGCTTGTGCGCGTACCCGAGCTACTGACAGAAGAACGCTGACTTCGACTTTTGCTGATGGAGCGCAAGCCTGCTTTAGACAGACGTATGCTCGACTTTCGAAAGGCCGAAACCTGCGCAGATCGCCTACTTGATGGCCTTAACGCTGCCGTTCCTTCAACTTGCTCTCCGCGGCACTCTAGAACCTGATCCGAAAGATTATCAAAATCTTGGGCCACATCCTCTGCTTGTTTCCATGCCTCATCTCTTTCAGCCTCCATTGAGTGCATTTGTTCTTGAAGTTTCTGGGATTCGGAGACCTGTTTAAGGAAGAGCGAATTGACTTTCCTCAAAGCTATGGCAAGTGCGCTCGCAGAGTGTACAACGTGTAAACTTTTCAGTTGACCTAGCTGCTCGACAATAGTATGGAGCTCGTCAGTGAGCCGGTCAAGAGTAATGGAGACCTCAGAAAGCTCCTCCACGGTGCGTACAGCAGTCATAGAATCGCACATGTCTGGACCATCCAGATGTCCAGCGAGAGTGCCCATAAGCTGCCACCGCTTGCGCACGAGCATCTTGTACTTCATTTTAACGTCGGTATGCTGCATCTCGAGGCGATGGACTTCCTCAGGAATGTCTACATCCAACGTCTCTGTCCTGAGAAGACGTATTGATGAGGCTTCCGCAGACTGCTTGATGGCTCTTGAGACGATCGTTTGAAGCTCATGCCGCGTAAGCGTCCACTGAGCCGCCTCCAAGGTCATCCCTCGCCACCTCGGGGGTGGTGTGTGGAATTTCGGCGCCGGTGTCGAAGCAGCGGCAGTCAGTTTGCGCCATGCGTAGCCTGATCCGGAACCATGAGCATAGCCACTGCCCACAGATGACACAGATCCGCCACGCTCCCTGATCCAGGGTACAAATGACCCAAGCGGTTGACCAGGACCGCTAGGTTTGCGTGGACCGATTGGCAGTGGTGGTCGAGCCCTAGTTCGACTCCTGATGTTGGAAGGCGGGCTAGGGGTAGCAGAAATGGACGGTGGACGGACGACAAAATTCATTTCTGAGCTAGTCTCCTGCGACGATGCACCGCCACTAGTACTTGTTGCCAGAGGCATATCATTCTCATTTGAAATCGCACTGCGATATGAGGGAGGAGCTACGAATGAAGGCGTCAACAACGGTGATGAATTGACAGATGATGGTGGCAACGGACTCCTTGGAGGAGTAGGGGGAGGGGGCGGCGAAACTGAGGGTAAAAATGAGGTACCAGCGACATGAAAATCAGATTCAGGGCGTTGCGATAAAGAATCGGAAGCTGAGGATATGCCCCTTGAAAATGCCGCTTGCGGCTGGGGGCTGTGGAACGGAGGGCAGTTCGGTGGTAATACGCCAGGACTGGATAAATTAGTGCTTGAAGGTCGAAGATTAGAACCGAATGATGATAAGTTAGTGCCTGGTGAATTGGATGGCGAGGTCAATGAGGATATGCTCCCAGAGCTGGTATATGGAAGGGAGGGTGATGCATTTTTGGATTCTGGGAGGGGCACAGATGTTGAGGACAACGAAGGCTTCTCGACCAGAGAGTGTGATTGTGTTGTAGATGTGAATAAATTTGGGGAAACGATCGAAGGGATTGATAATGCAAAATCGGATACAAGCGCTTGCAAAACTTCGTCCTCTTGAAGCCTATCACTGCCTGTGGATATACGATGGACTGGAGAACACATAACGGGGTCAACAGGGGATGATTGTAGCTGTATTGCGACTTTAATATTCTGGTCAGTTGTTTGGGTCTTCTGCCCTGTAAGGGAGGACGTTGGAGCGAGTGCAGCATCCGAAGTGATCTCTGGGGGACAAGGTTCCGACGAAGGTGTAGACGATGACGCGGTAGACACCGGCCTGCAAAGGGTAAGAAAACTATTATCTCCCACTGAACCCTCTTCTCGTAATGCAACACTCAGTGTCATCGCCCGAGACAACGCGCCTGTGCCAACGAAAACTTGTGGTATAGGATGGGTCGCCGATCTAGGCGCCTGAGGGCGTCCAGGAAGCTGGAGTGCTGTTATGGGGACAAGAAAGCTAGGCGAAAACAATGGAGTGAAGATGTTTGGAGTCTCGGGGAAGGTCTGTTCCCCAGTGGAAGAGCTCGAGGGGGGGCAAGTCGATGAGCTCTGCGAGCCGGGGCTCACATTGATAGCAAAATCTAGGAGGTCATACTCCTGGCTGGCAGTTACGCGTCCAAGAGCGCGTTCCGCACGCTGACTTTGTGCAAAGATCCCTGTACCGGAAAGCGGGCTAGTGTTAGGAACGTCCGACTCTGCAAAGGCTGTCAATGGCATCTCGACATGGCCAGCAGGAACTGCGGAAGTAGGTACCAGAGGGAACTGGGATAGCGCTGAGGGACACTGCGCGATAGAAGAGGCAATCAATGCAGGAGTGATTGGTGTTTGTGGGACAAGGATTGAACGAGGGCGTTCGCCGATGGGAAGCCTGATCTGTTTTTTATTGCGTTGAAAAATGCTGCTCGGCCGTCCATCCGACATCTTGAAACCTAAAGAACTTGAATGGCAACTGGAAAAAAAAACACGTAGATGCTTACTTCTCCCACCCCTCAATGATGGCGTTACTCCCTGTGCTCTCACTCTGCGCTTCCGAAGGCTAACATCACTAGATTTCGTCTGCAGAGCATTGGCATCAGAACTAATGGATGCAACAGGCTGTGACGACTCAGGAGCAACAAAGTGATATCCATCCAAACCATCTGTTGGACTGGAAGGGATAAATTCTGATGATTGTGCCGAAGCGCTTGACACGCCTGTTCCCGTGTGATGAGATGATGGGTATGATGAAGCCGTTGCGGGTGTGTGAGAAGCAGTGTTTGGAACGTCCGAATCAGTCTCATCCATCCTTGCGAGCACACTGCTTGCAGCTATAGAGCTACCACTTTTCATTGGCTGAGCATCGCGAATTGACTCTGGCGACATTGGTGTTGTAGGCACGGGCGAAGGAACCTCTGATATTCGAGAAATGCGTCTGGATAACCCTGAATGCATGATGATATCAGGAGACACATAGTAAGCTCCAAAAGGTGGGGACGCCGTGGTGGATGCGCTGGTATGTGGAGACTTTTGTTCTTTATCTTGGACGACAGACTTTCTCGCCTGATCCAGCAGGAGTACTCCTGAGCCTGGAGGCAGGGGAGGCACATGAGATACAGTCGAGTCACGACTCGAGTCATGTGCAAGCGCGACCTCCATGGATAGATGGTCATAACCGGGAAGAGTGGCAGAATCTTGACGCGCCATGCCACTGCGGTATCGCGATCCCCGATCACTCGACGACAAAATGAACGAGTTTCCGATAAGGGCACGAGCAAGTGTGGTACCGGATATAGCGGACATATTGTCCGAATCCATGGGGGATGGAGGGGAGGTATTCGAAACCGGCTGCTGATTCATCCCCAAAGATTCGACACCCACTGTTGACCGCCTAGTCGGAGCTTCGGTAGGAGCAGTTTCAGCTTCTGGTATAAAGATGGGGGCAGGGATCGACTTCTTCGAAGCGGAAGGTGCCTAATAGTATGATCAGCTCATATGTTTCTCTCTGGAACTCTGTCGAAGTGAAGCGGAACGTAATTTCCTGCCGCAACGACCGACATGCAGAAAACCAGTGTCAAAAGACGTACCATGCGATCAGATGGCTGCCGAGAGTGAGATGTATTAGCGGTGACGGCCTCCTAGTGTCAGAGTGAGATTTTGGAATGGCGAACGTGTTGAAGACGCACTTGGAATGTACTAGAACCCGGACTTACATCCTCCTTCACAGTATCCAGGCCGGCAGTTTCAGCTATCGGTAATTCTTGCAGTGGGTCCATAGGAAGGCTCCATGTAGAACCATGAGAACCAAGCCCTCCGTTCAGTAGCTCCTGCGGAAACCAGTTGTCCAGAGGCTCTGGATTGTAGTCCAACTGGACCAAAGATCCAACATTTGGTCGGGTGCGAGAAACGGATGTAGAAGATCTATGATCGATAGACGAATCTCTGTCTGAGGGAGGATCTTCTGTCGTCCCAGAATTGGGTGACTTCTCATGGATATCGAAGATCTCTTCTGGAGGAGCGGGTGGAGGTGAGGTAGGCGACTGGTGCGGCGGTGGAGGAGGTACTATGCCAGAAGATTTTGTCACCTTCGCCCTCCGCTTCATATTCTTTCGCATGAAATTTGTGAGGATCATCCTCCCCCGTTGCTCTATATGGCCTCCAGGTTAGACTGCCAAGGGGTGTCGCGACCGGTAGATATACTATGAGCCTAAACAAGATTAGACTCAACGAATTGTAGGAATAGTGCCCACGGGTGCGGAGAATCGCACTTGTCTAGGTCGTGGGGACAAGAAAGATGTAGGAGAAGTAAAAGGAACACTGGTACATATGCGTACATTCCGGCATTCATAGCAACCTTTGGCAGTTGCACATCAGAGCATCAAGGCATAAATGTTTGTCCCTGTTTGTTTTGTCTGGGAATCAAACATCATGTCGCCTGCTTTGCATGGCCTCCTTGATCATCTAACACAGCTTCTGAAACTTGAACCCGGTATAATCATCTATATCCCATCTGCGAGTGCGCGTAAATCGTGTGACACTACTACGCCGTACGACCCGTCTGTCCAATCCCATCTATGACCATGAGAATTCGCGGTTTCATGAGCGCCGGCGGTCAGACGCTGATTCATATGTAGCACAGGCACATTTGATAGGACGAATGAGAAGGTCTAGTTCATGTCAACTTGGCTCTCCACGCGTTGTACGCATTCTCTTTCATCATACAAGGCACAGTCCATATCTCCCGGTTGGTCTCTTATTTCCCAGGTCACTTGAGTTGAATCTACACCACCAACTGAGCCTGCATCTCACCGCCTTCAAGATCAAATTGTGGCAGTGATCGTAAACGCACCCGCTTCCACAGCCTTTGAAGCCCAGTACTAGCGACACATCATCTCCTCAGATTACAGCCGCAATCAACACTCTGCGGTTTTATTTTCGAATTGTTATATCCGATTGGACACCGAATTTTGGTTTGGCATGACATAATGCCCCGCATGGCTCTCAACTTTATCCGAGTCCTGGAACGTTAACCATCTAACGGCAGAGGATTTCGGTTTGATCCTTCAATCAAATACCAGTAATCGCCAGCCTCAGTTCGGCTGTACGGCTCACCCCACCCCGGATGCGACAGGATTCCTAGGAAGCGAATCAAGCAATAGGAACGTTATGCGAAGTATCACAGGTACACCTTATCGGGCTCTGAATCTACGGTACTCACGTATTCAATTATAGCAGCTACTTACGATGGAAACGACACCTGCAATCTTATGCGATAGGAATAGATACACATACCTTTCGGAAGGGCGACGGCGTTCATAACGGCTTCTGACCAAGCAAAATAATTATTTTGGCTTCCATTATGCCCTTCAAATAAATATGTTGTGGTGCACGACCGAAGAGATGGTATGAGCTTATGCTGATCAGAGGTATGTAAAGGAAAGAATTGTGACGATAACGACTGTGGTAAATATCAAATGATATACCAAGGATGCAAATGCAAATGCGAATATGAATGAGTGAACGACGATGCGAGGTATCCAACTTTCCTGGACGTCCTGGCAGATGAAATGTAGACTTGGAGTTGTAAATTGCGGTGATGCGAATAAGTCCATGAAGTGAGGTGAATTAGCTAAGCAGTTGGGAAGGAACGGGAAGGTGTCGAAGATGTCTAAGCCCGCAGTTTGAAAGCGCGAATAGTTGATGCGATCATGCAATGGCAAGCAGGCGAGCTGCTAGATATGATCCGTCAGGGATTCCATAAATAAAATACGTTATGATATCGTACATACCATAAAGATTGGCCGGATCAAGTGTTTCGAAACGGACGCAGCTTCTCCAGTACGTTTTCCATGCTAGACTGAGGGTCGAGCGTGTGATCGATCGGCAAAGGATGTGCCATAAGTGCTCCAGATGTCACTGACGACATCGATGACGATGAGATCCGACGTAGGGCCCGAGAAGCGCGCCGTTCTTCTTTCGTCTGTTGACGTTCCACTCGGCTGGTCTCTCCCTGCTGTTCTGGGATGGCTGATAAAGATGAGGTCGTCGATGAAGCCAGCATCGGAAGACACAGAGAAGAGTGCGAAGACGAGGCAGAGGCAACAATGCCAAGTTCTGGAAAAGATGGCTCTAGGGATGCCCCAGACGGGCTAGATTGGTCCAGATAATCGAGGCCAAGTCCTCTACGAGAGCCAACAGACGCGTTTGTTGTCAGTGGACGTGCGCTCTGGGACGGAGCCTCACCACGCGTTGAATCCATGACCCACGCAGCGTCAGATGCATTTCCATCGTCCAACGTGATCAAAGAAGCTCGTGCCAGGCTCTCCGCCGCATCAATATCGTCTGCACCACCATTGTGTATGACGAGCCAGCGCAAACCCTCTATCTCTCTGACCTTTTTTCGGATCTCACGCTCCAGCATCTGAATGGTCTTGGACATAGATGCCTTTTCGTCCTCAAATTTCTTGGTTATAGTGACGGCATATTCTTGAAGTTGAGCATACTTTCTATTCTGCAAGGCAAGCGCATTCCTGAGGTCATCCTCGGATGCGAGTAGCTGAGGATCTGCAGGGGCTTGTTTATTTTGTGGGCTCGGTCTGGGAGCCATCCACGCCGCAAGCCTAGCCGAACTCAGCGAGGTCGCTGCTGATACAGTGTTAGCTCGCGGTCGTGGCGCTATACCCGGAGAGTGAACAGTCAAGTTGTAGGGAACGCTGTCGGTAGGGGTAACTGGCAACGAGCTTATCGGTAGCCTGGGTGCAAACCGAGCTGAGGGCGGTGGCGAAGGTAGGGGGGCAGAAGGAGGAGGCCCGCTGGATAATTTTTCTGAGGAAGAGGGCGCACGCTGCAAAGGGGCGGGACGCTTCATAGCCGATGCCTTCGGCAATGCGCTGTGATGTCTACCTCTCCTGCTACGCACACTGCTGTCTGTAGCACGAGACGCATCTGTATCGCTTCCCGAAAGACTGAATGCGCGAGCACGATCGCTTTCATCTTCGGAAGGAACACCGGCAGTGCCAATGCGGTCGCTCCGACGTTCACGAGAGATCGAGAAGCGATGTTGAGGGCTCGTGGCTGGCAGCTTAAGGCTGCTATTAGAGTGTTTGCTTGAAGGAGTGGTTGGCTCTGTTTTAGATGATCCCTGCGAATATCGAGAAGATGACTTCTCGTTCGCCATCGAAGTGAGGCCAAAATTCGAAGGAGGGATGGGGAATTGAAGGCGAGGGGTTGATGGAGGAGTGGGACTAGCGGGTGTCAATGGTGTAGCAAAACTGGGTTCCGCACACTTTTTTGAACCGTTCGCAGCGTTGACAACAACAGGTGGCAGGGTAGAAGCTTTTTGAGCAGACTTGGTCGGTTTCGAAGGATGCTCTGGAAGTGTAAACAAATCAGAAAAATCATCCATCAGTTCGTAGTAAGGAGCGTTTTCTGTAGCGGGTTGAACAAGTGGTTTTGGTGTGGTGGATCGGCTGTTTACAGTGCTGGAGCTGTGGGATTCGAGGGAAGTAGCATGACAATCAGCTACAGGGAGGGAGAGAGTGGCGGTCGAATGAGTGGGAGGGGTGTTTGTTGACTTGTACGATGAAGAGTATCGTGCCTTGAGAGTTTTGCTAGGAGATCGCAAAGGAGAGAAATGGGCGGCAAATTTGGAGCCCAATGATGGCGGTGACACGTTCAATGGAGGAAGGGTAGAAGGAAGCCGTTTGTCGGACGGAGAACCATCTACAGTTGTCAAGAGCCTACAGTGATATGCAATCAGTATTTCAAAGAAAGCAAACAATGATTTTGGTAAAAAAAAAGTGAATGTACAGTCAGGACTGTGAATATACTGCGTCTTGTTTCTATGTTTAGTCGGATGGGTACGATGAGCAGATATATAAGCATATATGCCGACATTGTAGACCATAAGTTACCAACTCATCCCCGTTTGGCCCATCAACGAGAGATCGTTCCTTGACTGAACGACACGTTCGATCATCAACCTAAACCAGACGAAAAACTCACTCTTTGCCGGATCCCGAAGGAGAGTTGGTAGATTTTCTAGGCAAAGCTGAAGATGAAGCGAATGGTCGCTCGGTCTTCTTCCTTCCGAGGAAGGGCAGCATAGAGCGCCTAGACTTGGGCTTTTCTTCGGATGGGGTGTCTGTAAGAGCGCCAGTTTTGGAAAGCTGACGCGAACCATGCGAGCTGCGGAAGATGTCTGAGAAATCTGCCGTCCTGGTTCGTGAGCGTTGTGGAGTGGGAATGCCAGTCATGATGAGGTCAAAGGAGGGCGAACGACTGTAGAAAAAGACAAGCCGATGAACGAGAGCTTTATGTCAGGCGCGTATTCAAAACCAAAATGCTTACAATTGCCAAGAATTTTAAGCGAAATGCGAGCCCGGGACCGACAGAAAGGCGCTGATTAATTGAGCGGGGATTCTGAAGGAGGAATGATGACTGGAAGATATAGTATCAGTGAGCTTCAAAAGCCGACGAGAGTGCAATTGTCATGGAGGAGAAAGCAGAAAGAAAAGCGATGGGGCGTACAACGGGGAGATGTAAAAGATTTATTTCAGCACAAGCACGGCCCTGCCAATATGGCAAAATCCCGTCCGTGCAATATATAACGTTTCTTCTGCGGCTTCTTCGATGTTCCCTCAGTTATCGTCATTCTCGATCAGTACGTCACGAGTCACATAAAACCTTCGACTTGGAGGGCCGATTGAAACGCTCGAGATAAGAAAAAGAACAACGAAATGAAGCAGACATGTGGCATTCTCATGGGAAGAACAAAAAGAGGGAACCAAAGGGCGCTAAGCCGTACAAATCAAGTTACTTTTGGAGTTCAAGAAGGCAACTGCGCAGCAACTTCAATTTTTCGAAACAACTCCAGGGGGGGCAGCACGAATCGGGTTTAACCACCAGGTATCCTCAAATTCTGGCGTACGGCCGCCAATACTACTGAACCATACGCGCTTCCTAACTTCTTGTAACCCCATGGCGCAACAGTGGCTTGACCAACTATGAGCGCTCCAACGATGGGCGCCGGGCTTCGAACGTGCAACCAATCACTGCATGGTTAGCCTGTGAATGTGTCAGACCATCGAAGACGTTATCAAAGTCATCGCCCGGCATTGGGCAAGGATCGCACTACTCATCGACATTTGCATGCCGAATGGACGAAACCTATATATCCAAATCTTAGGGCCTAGTACCAGAGTCTAACGGCCCCCGATGCGAAGAAGATGCAAGTATAACCATGAGTTTAACTCTTTCTGAGCATTTTCCATTGGCGTCATGGGTCATTCCGGACAGGTACTTATGATGTGCGATGCACGGATAATGATGATAGTAAAGTGAAACGCGGCAGCCCGCTGCCAGTGGGCACGTGTTTGTGTCGTCGTTCCAGGTGCAACTTCTATCAGCGTGTTCGTACAAGACAATGGGCTGGGGCTCGAGGATATGAAACAGATGAAAAATATAAGAAAGCTTGTGGGGAAGTTTGTGCTAGAAGTGATCAGTTTGATGGCCGTTTGGGTCGGGGCCATTAACATTGCTCTAGAAGTTCCAGAACTATAAGGTGATCACAGCGAGTACCCGAAAGATGTGAACTTACAAGCGGAGTTGAAAACAACACTGCACCTTCTGAAGAATTTGGAGGTCCTGCTACTTGTGACATAGAACGTCTAGTTCGAAAATAGAGACTACCGTTGATAACATGTAACACACCGGCCAGTTTCATTTGGAACCTACTAATTAAGTCTGCATTACAAAAGTCAATCCAAGGGAAGCAGTTGCTCATTTGTATTACAACGTTTGTATGCATGACATGTACACTAAAAACAACACGTGCAAGAAATGTATCAACCCCAGCGTAAAATTACATATAGGACACGGTGGGTACCAATTCAATATAGTACTATGTAGCTGCCACATAAGATAAGTACAGCCAGTAACAATCATTTCCTTCAAGAGCCGGAAGACCCTGGACCGCTGTCCCCCTGCGAAGTCTCTGGGTTCTCAATCATCTGACGAAGTTCGACATCCAAGGCCTGCACGATGCGTAGCACAGCATCAAAGTCAGCTTGTGAGCATATCCCCAGACACGCCCATGCTGCCTGTTTCCACTCCAACGATTCCACAGCCTGATGCACATCTCTAGCGAGATCCAACAGCTCATTGTCCGGAATACCGTTATCCCCTCGCAGATGCTGCCTAGTTATTGTCACGAGGTCTGGCAGTACGTCAATCGAGAAGGATGTCGGTAGCTCTCTCCATATTGTCCTGACGCATGACCGCCACTTCTTTTGGACAGGGCTCAGAGGAAGAGCCTTGTCTGAGGGATCAGTAAATGCGAAGATTCCAGCAAGGTAGCATCTGAGAACCCATGGCTCGTGTTCAAGGGCTTGATTGATCAGAGAAGTGCACCGCGTGAGATGTCCATCACGGGTCAGGCGTTCATGCCACTCATCATTCATTGCCAAGGCAAAGATGAGGCGGGTGTAGCTGCAGTCTCGAGTGTAGTGGAAAGAGGCATTGGGACGACTATTGTCGTGGACTGGCTGGTCATCATTTGGAGATACGACAGTGAAAAGAGCGCGAGAAAGCTCATCTAAGAGTCCTGCGTCCACATCCTGTGGCATCGAGCCACTTGTAATAGAAGCCAGGTCTGCTCGAGCGTCAGAAACAGCTCTTAGCGCAGCATGCCGGACGCGGTGAGGTCTGGTGGGGCCCATACAGCGGATAAGCGCCGTGATGTAGGAACGTCGCTTGAAAGAGCTCCCTAGTCCATGCATGGCACTCAGTGCCAGCAGAGCATCACCTTCTGTTTCATCGTCTCCTTTGTGACCTGCTTCACCTGCTAGGTAACCAATGAGCCAGTCAAACTCTCCACAGCTGGGTATGCGTTCGTCACTGTGGCACCAGCGCAGATCGCCAAACCAAATCAAGCGCTCATCGTCCGGAAGTGAAAACCAATCGGAACGCCCATGGACAACCATCGTTCTGAGAGCGGTGCGTGCGTCAGCCTGATGCTTCTGTCGAATGTCCTCTTGTTGTGTACTCATGAACTGCAGGCAGGCGTTACGGCTGTCCATGAACGCATCGCGAATAAAACGGCTCTTGCCTCCCCAAAGATCTTGGGTATGTCTGAGTTTCCAACGAAGGTCTCGAGGGATTTCCAGCGACTGGCTGCAAAAATGGGCCATGGCTTTCACATACTTCACAAATGCTTCCTCCATGTCAAGACACGCCTCGAAGTTATCACGGAAGCGTGTATAGATTACAGAAGTATCGAAATCTCGCGGCCATTGCAGGTGAGGTACCATCCCAGCTGCAGCCTCAAAGAAGTCCGGGTTCGTGGATATGTTTAATATCCAGCGTATAGCGGACAATTTGATGAGTGTATCATCAGGAGTCACAGTCGATGTGTCCCATGTGTTGGATATGTCCCATCTGTATGGAAGGAAATGCTCGCAGACAGCTAGGGATTTTTTTGTGATAGCTCCCACTAGCTCAGATCCTGGGGTTTGGAAAGGACTATCTGGATACAACCTTGACAAGAGGATGGTACTTGCATAGAAAAAGATACCAAACGCCATGGTGCAGATAATGACGCTAGATATCGTCTTTTGCTGGATCCACACGTTGGCGCAGATGGACAAACCAAACAGCAGTAGCGAGATCTGGAGGAGGACGAGGAACGTCTGCAAGACGGTCTGGAGGTGAAAACGCTCTAATCCATCCAGTTTCTTCTGCCGCTGCATGCAGCGTTGTTCCAGAGACCCCTGCCCACGAGCTGCCTTATAAGCATTGAGCCATTGCTTTCCCATCACAGCCCCAAACGCAGCCAAGACGCTAAAAGCGAGACTGGCATATGCGAGCGCTTGCATCCAGACAGTGGAAGAAGGATACCCCGTGGACGGGGAAAGATTGCTGATATCATGCACGGCATTTGGGGCAGCTGCGATTTGAATTAGCTGTAGCAAGAGGACATTGGTAGTTTCGCCCGGGTTAGGCTGCATTCCGACAATGAAGGTGGAGTTGACGGCCGAGAATAAACCAGCCTTGTTCACCTGTTAGAATCTGCATAGGCAAGTGTACAAATGATCGCACAAAAGTTAAGATGATGTTCATATCGCCATTCCCTCGTGAGAGGAAAGTATCATCGTACTCTTTCGAAACTTGGTCGTACATCGTCCAAAACTTTGAATCGTCTCCTTTGTCACGTTCTTGAGCTACAGGAAGCCCTTGAGCAACGTTGAAGACTTGTTCATCGGCTTTAAACCTTTGATACAACATAGTCAGACCTCTGATCCATTATCCCGGCGTACCAATTATCACTCGATACTTACACATCCTTAGCAGGTCCTCCCTCGATAGGCGCGGCAGGTCCCTCGCTCGCTATATGCGGCTTGATTGCATCCCTCAGGCTTAAAGCCCATACGGGTTACACACAGACTCAGTCCAGTCTAGCTCGCTACTCACTTGCTTGCTTGGATGCCAGCGTCAACAGGTTGTGTGTGATAGTCTGGGGTGGACATAGAGGTGGGGGAAGGGTGGGAGATTCTGAAATAGTTGTTACATATGCAGTTGCTGTACGGCAAGTGTGAACGTTAACATTTGTACCGATCATCAATGCATCATAGTCGTAAGGTGTCCTAAATATGACCTCGGAGCGGCGTGCATCAAGTATCATTTTACATTATGTAAGTATCGCCTACTATTATTCTCGTGATCAGCTTATATAACCACGGACATATCTCAGACGTAGTACTAAGAGTAAAGACCAGTTACGAGTCATCCACTATAAAGTTATCATTAGTCCAGTCGTTTTCTCCAATTTTCTATTCCTGATGTTCTCAGATGAGCTCAAGACGTTCCGTCGACTAGGATTCCGACACGTGCGTCCTAGCGTTTTTAATCACTCTGCAGAATACTGACTTTTCTTTTGTTTCATTTGTGCCGACGTGTCCTTGACGTGACCCCATATGCTTCTGTCATTCTCTATTCATTCAGTTCCTGCTCCAAATTCTCAACTTCGCCTCTGTCATTGCATCTGGCCTCATGCTATGGAAAGGCCTTGGCCTGATTCTGAACACAGAATCTCCAATTGTCGTTGTCCTCAGGTGTGTATCATCCTCGCTCAATCAGGTATTCAACCTGAGACCTCCATTTCTCCCCACGCTAAACTGGATCCCGCATATTATATCTACAGTGGCTCAATGGAACCGGCGTTTTACCGTGGCGACCTTCTTTTTCTTACGAACCCCCCAGGCCAACGCTACCATACGGGTGATATAACAGTATACAGGATCCCTGGCGCCGAAATACCCATCGTGCACCGCGTCCTGGAGACCCGGGATGTTTTCATCCCATTTGACAATTCTACGGAGAACCGCATCGTCAATAACAGGTGAGTATCTTCAGTATGCCGTACGTGGTTTGTTGCGGGGGTCAAGTCGATGAAATCCGATGACTAACTACAACTATACCCCGCCCCAGACTAGCCAAACTCAAACTACCTCCCGGGGAACATCAATTGATGCTCACAAAGGGCGACAACAATCATGTCGATGACATTGACCTCTACCGGGGCCTTGAATGGCTCGACCGAAGACATATCATTGGCAAAGTTCGCGGGTATGTGTTTTTCACATCATCACATTTTTTCCTTCCTGTTTCGAGGCACAACTTGCGCAGCGTGATACGTCTCTTTTCCTACTCAATCTTCTAATCACGCTTCTGCTTCACTCACACTTCATCCCCAGGTTTCTTCCGTACATCGGCTACGTGACGATCGCCATGGTAAGCATGCATATCTTGTTAATGCCCAATAATGCTGATCATACTACATAGAATGATTTCCCACAACTTAAATACGCACTTCTCGGAGGTCTTGGGCTCTTAGCTGTCATACAACGGGAGTAGAATTCCCTGAGGAGAGGGCCTATACGCAGCAGATTCGTGTTGTTTATTTCATGTATGGTGACCGCGCGCGCGCGAAATAGCAACAGTCACTTCGATTGGCGACGTTCAACATCATGATATCTGATTCCGCAAGGAGGTGACACTTCGAACACACGTCTCCCAGGTTAACGAATCTAACTCCAATATTGAAAGGTAAGTCACGACAGCACTTGGGAAATATTGGATGACGCGATGATATCACCAACGCAATTTGCAAGCTAAGTATCTAGGCAATGCGTCGCATGTATGAGTCTAGTTGAGATCTTCGGTAATCAATGCAATTCAAGACCACCAACATTCAGTGAGCGAAGGACTGCTCCACATTAACAGTCATCAATGAGGCCGGTCCCTGTGTAGAGCAGATACAACGTGTATCACTCGAATGCTGACAAGTTCGAAGGGGAATACAGATGACAAGAAGCTGAGTGTGCGGTATACTTTGTTCGATGACTTTGAATGAATGGATTCATTGAAAATATGAACTAGACATGCATATTTTTATATATATGGGAAACATAGGCGCTATGAAAGCACCAGTTGGCGTGAAGGAAAAGGAAAGGAACCACAAGGATCGCGATGAAAAATATCCTGATTATGATGAAAAAGAGTTTGAGGTGATCCACTTTCAGTGATCTATGGCCGAACAGGCAAGGAGGAGAGCTGTGAGGTAAAATGGGTATTTGGGGCGTGATTTATATAATGCTGTTAGTTGTCACCAAGTTTAATTAGGCTTACTCATTGGCCGAGTGATTACGCAGTAAATTGTACGTGTTTGTTTTGCTTTGTCGTCAGTCAATTCGACCTCTGTTCTGCCAACGAACGTGTTCAATTGTATGTATCTGCTGAGTGTAAACTTTTTCCTACCAATTTTCCCAATGATATTGGCTCAAACAAATCATAAGCGAGCCGTCCAGTCACCGTCATGAAGTATCTCGTGAGTGCTTTGACAAATCATCTGATGGGATGTGTAAACGGGAAGGGCACAATAGTCAGGGAAATGTAAGTTGAACCGTAAATAAGATATCCAGCTGACTTCAGTCCTACTAGGGAGATTGAATCATTGTCCGAGGGGAAATACGCTGATTGTCAAGACGGAAAATTATGATTAATCAAAGGTGAATGTGTACGTGATTGAAGCAAGGAGCGATTGCGTATGTAAAAGTGAGTGCCGTATGTACAAGAGTAACGTCAAGAGTCATATCGAATGACTCGAATCGTCGTTGATGGGTAAGTTGTTTTGTAAGGATACACAGCTCAGCGGCAGCTGAATGACAAGTCATTACCACAACACCCAGCCCTATCATGATGTTATAAGGACCTGCCGATCCAAATCCTTGGAATTCATACTAACCAATCCTCCTGCCAGTATCTCGAGCGCTATAAATGACTTCTGTTCATCCTCCCGTACTAGTGGTAAGTGACGTGCTTATGATACGTGTTTGCACCTCAGTTGAATTCCTTGCTATTAGGTTGGTGCTGGGCCAGTGGGTCTGGTAGCAGCGTTGACGCTCCTTCAAAACGGTATCCCGGTCCGCATCATCGATAAAGACCACCACCCCCGCATCGGACAGCGTGGTGTTGGAACATGGGTTTGTCGCACATCCACTTGTCACATCATCCCGTGATCTCATTGAATGCATGCTCTATGTAGCCACGCTCCCTCGAAGTCTACAACTTTCTGGACGTTTCAGAAGTCAATAGCCTGGGAAAATCACCCCCTCCCCTCCGTTCGTACAAGCCTGGGACGTTGGAACCTTTGAAAGACTCATCGATGGACCCGCATATGGAACCTAGTCCAGCAATACCATTCGTGCGTAACACCGTCGCTTAATCAAACCTCCATGCTGATTCCATCTTTTTTAGCATGGCCCTAAATTGATGGGTCAACAGCTCCTAGATGTGGTTCTGCGACGCCATCTAGAGAAATTTTCTTGTTCTGTTGAGATGGGCACCGAACTGTGCTCATTCGAACAGTGCGACGAGGGTGTCACTGCTATTCTAGCAAAGAACGGCATATCAGAGACTTTTGATACAAAGTGGATCATCGGCGCTGATGGTGCTAAAAGTGAGGCGCAGTTCAATCCGCCGGGATGAATGAGACTGAAGGTGGCTTTGCAGGCGTCGTGCGCAAGCAACTTGGACTCACATTTCTGGGTGAGACTAGAGACGATATCCGGATTGTGACTGGGGATATCCGTTTGACGGGCGTTGGCCTCGATAGAGTGGTACGTTTAGTTTCTACAAATTCGATGAAAAGCTATCCTAAACCAGTCTTGAAGCATTGGCACCGGTTTGGAAACTTTAATGAACGAGGGTATGTTCACTTGAGCCTTGGAGACGTGTATATTGACGACATGCAGCCTCTCATTGCGTGCAACAGATGAAATTGCCGAGGATGGCTGGCAATATTTCCTTTACGGCAGCGAACTAGATCTCACGAAGATAGCTGAGAGCGAAGAGCTTGTCTTTGAAACCATCGCGTTGTTAATACCAACGGAGATTACATTCGAAAAGGTGGTCTGGATGAGCGACTTCCGGTACGTTTTGTGAACCTGTCCGTGTTGATGCACGTTCATCGGTTTGTTCCAGGGCTAATATCCGGATGGTGAATAAGTTCAGCGAGGGTCGAGTGTTCGTTGCGGGTGGTATGTAGTTCTGTTTGAGATGTGTGTGGCTGTACTCATACATGTCGTCGTAGATGCTGCTCAGTATGTCTATCTTTGAGTGCCCTCTTTGTAAATTGCTGCTAACACATCCAAGTGTTCACAGCCCAACGGGCGGTCAGGTATGATTGATCTGATTGTTGCTGATTGTTGCTGATTTGTCTATGAACAGGGACTCAATTCAGGTGTACAAGATGCAGTGAGTCGGGTAGATGCAGCATATGTGTTATGACTGACTGCATCCTACACCAGTTCAATCTAGGATGGAAGCTTGCGCTCGTCCAGAAAGGGCTCGCCGACAAATCTCTTCTCGAGACATACAGCGCCGAACGTCTGCCTGTGATCTCCGAGATGCTCGAGGTGACCACCTCGATTCTCGACAAGGCAACAGCGTCTGGGGACCTATCGGCCGGACGAAGTCCCGTCCTTTACATGCTCGGCATCAACTGCCGATTCAGCATTATCGTACTCGATGAATTTGTTACTTCAGTTGAGAGGAAGCCTATCGGCGCATATGGTGTGCTTGATGAGGGGCATCTGGAAGCTGGGGATAGGGCGCCTGATGCGCCCAATATGTTGCAGGTGGGGGGCGCAGAGCTCAACACAACGACGCTTTTCGGTCTGTACAGACCTTGGTACCACACAATGCTTGTATTTGCGCCGAGCCTCGCTGATGCTACCTCGATCTTGGGTGCACTGGAGGTATACGACAAAAGTGTCGTACGATCGGCAGTCGTTCTGCCATCATCGGCATCAGTGACGCCTGTCGCATCTCCTGACCTCGTTCTTGTTGATCGGGAGGGCTATGCTTATTCGGCTTATCTCGTGGAAGCTGGCCAGACGAAAGTGTTTGTGATACGGCCGGATGGAGTGATTGGGGCGATAGTTCATGGTACAGAAGGTGTGAAGAAGTATTTCTCAAAAATATTTTTGGATGCGTAGTGGTCGGGATATTCGTTCATTACTTACAAATTTTACGAGCACAGCTCATTTCTGTATACCTCCGAGTCATGCAATGTAGTATCTCATATTTGTAACTGAAAACGACACTTGCATCAGTAAATTCGCAGATTCCTTAACCAGCTTTTCAGCCACTTGTCACGAAAATATTCAAAATGTTACTACTTATTTCAACTTATACACTTGTGCACAAGTGCCCACAAGTAATCACATGATTCACAAGCACCCAAAGTAAATAAGCAGCAAAAAGTCGAAGTACATTATACAAGTGAATTAAGTGAGGTAGAATTAACAATTAACAAACAAGTCGCGTGCTGGATCCGTTGCACCATTACGCTCTCATTCCACTGCGTCATCATGCAATGGTAGAGGTGTAGTCCATGTACTTGCTGGGGATGGCCTTAACTACCTCATCATCGACAAGAGGAACAGAGTAGGGACTTCATCATCAATGGCATTGATGGACGATGACACAGTGCACAGATGTAGGCAGGAGATGTTGCTTCGATTCTGTGATGGATGAGCATAATCCATTCAGGGCACCAAAGAGTCGGATCATGTCTGCATAATGGGTCATTGAATGCTGGCGGGGATATGAAAGTGAGCTTTCGTGCCCGTAGTTTTGAATATCTGGCGATAATGATGGAACCAAGTAAGCACATCTTGAAGTTGATTCAAATAGGCCTCAGTAATGATGTTGTGCAGCGCAATGTAACAAAATTACAAGAGCGCACGAAATGCATGGACCATGTCTTGGGGTATGTGGCCTTTGATAACTGGAATAAAGACCTTCATAAGTGCTTTGGAATCGTTACCTGTCCATTGTTTGAAACCACGGCCATCAGGAAATTGCCGTAGGCCAGTGAATGGTGCTACAGCAGCAATTCTAAGTCATTGTTAGAGAATGGCATTGGATTAATGCATGAGGTCACATACCTATGATCTATGTCACTCATGATCTCATCTCCTTGTTTGGTCCCGTGTGTAAGTCTAAGGTACTCCACTACCCAATCCACAAGATGGTCCTTGAAACCCAGTGAAAATCGACAAGAATGAGGTAGATAGGTAGCAATAGACGTCTAAGTACAGAATGAGATAGATAGAAATCTAAGAAATTCGAGACAGTAAAACTCTAATTTTGTGCAAAATGCAAAGAACCTTTGCAAAGGTAAAAAAGCAAGCATGTCAAACTTTGTTTGCACACTTTGTAACGAACTTTTGACAAACTTTGCATATGCATGCAATATTGCACATGTACATGCATATTGTAGGTGCATAACTTCTTGCATTTGCACATATGTTAACTTTATCATATCCGAGTGACCGAGTCGGTGCAGTTGAACCACATGCATCTTCTCCTCCGCCCACCATGTCATTCATCCCCGCCGCGACCCCCGCTCAACACAACCACTCCCTTGTGTTTCTAGCACAACTTGACAACCACGAGCCTGAGATTTCTCTACTTTGCTTGAACTAATCTCGTCCCCTGCGCTTCCCAATAGCATAGCGCCCCGAAAACCTCTTTGTCTTCGTCAAACTAATGTACAGCAGCCTTCTGATCTCTGTACTGCGGGTGCGTTCTACAAATTCATTAATATTCTTCAACTACTTATCTTCATCAAGCGCATCGTTGGCACTACACCCGACCACGAGCCAACCCCTCCACCACGAATGGACAAAGGCAAAGAGAAGGAAGTTGTTGCTGTCGAGGTGAGTCTCTCGTTGTAGTACATGTTGTGCCTGGCACTAATTTCACGCGTCTGATCTTACAGGTTAAAAACCCTCTGTAAGTCATCAATTCTATTGATGCGCTACACTGATGTGATCAATTCATTTAGCTCTAATCTTGTCCTCAAACCTCAGCCCAGACCCATTTCACAGAAACCCCCTCCACCTTCTATTGTTTCCTCAAGTTTAGGATCCAACCCTGCTGTAGTGCTGCCCTCCACCAACATCACACCAATCTCCAGGCCAGAGATCTCATCGAGTTCCGATTCAGCTTCCCTTGCTGTAAAAATGGAACTCGTTGGAGTGACCCATGTTGAACAAATGAAACCCATGATCGACTCGAAGCCTGATGCCATCAAGAAGCAACAGCCGAGTACCAAGCCAATGCGCGTGAGCCCCAAGATCACGGCGCGGTGAGTTCTATATATTATTTTCATAGCAAGATTAACTCTATCATTCTAGGAATCTTTGCGCCCTCGAGTGGCAATCGAACAGCAATCAAAAGGAACCAGTGAGCATCTTCACGACTTACTGGAATGGGTTGTCTACTGCCGACAAAGAGGTGCGTCATTTTTTTTCTTATGTTAACATCTATTTAATTCTGTCTACAATTGTTCTAGTTATACAAGCGCAAAGTATCTGTTCAGGTGAGTTCTGTTGCCTGCATTCTATCACATGTACTGACCAAGTGTCCTATAGGTGGCTTCCTCGGGACTGGTTCAAGTGGACGACAACCACGATGACTAGAGGGCATATGGCGGGATGGTGGGATGGCGGGATGGCGGGTGGGATGGCGGACGAGGCGCTCAGCGAGCAGCGATACCCTACTCACCTAATGATAGCGATACCTATAGATAATGTCATTTGCTCTCATTAGATTTGTTTTTGGATCAAATCGAGTGATATTTCGTATGTAAATGTGTATCGGTAGGTCTAAACAGATCGAGAATCGTATCTAAACGTCTAAATTGTTTCTCGATGTCATTCTTTTTCCGTCTCGAAAAGTCTCATTTGTCTAAATACATCGAAATACATCGATATATTTCATGGGCCTTTATTTTTTAGATATCTATATACATATATCTACCCGATTCTTGTCGATCTTCACTGGGCTTGAAAGCCCCTTTTATTAGCTGGTGGAGGAGATCAAATGATAGCAATTGATGGATATTGGCCTGGGGGAAGTCATCCGTGAATGGCTGCCCAAAATAATTAGTATATAAGACAAGAGCGAGCAACTGCACTCATGACAAGAACACTCATAATACCATATTCATGCCACATTGTATCTGAATCCATGTTTTCATGTATCAGCAGATCTGTATGCTCCTGAGAGCGGTACAAGCCACTGCTATCAAGGTCTGTTCAAATTGCAAGACATCTATAAGCATTGTCAGTAGATATTGATGCTCATTTCGAGTCAAAATACTCACTTTGTGCACCAATTTTTCATTGTACAGGATAACACCAATTGTTCCTCGTAGTCTGCTATGAAGGGTCCTAATCCATGTATAACACATCAAAAATGACCGTCTGCACAACATAGGACCTCATACTCAGTCATTGCAGGCTTCAGGCTTGTGAGAATTGCAGAGAGTGAGTGGTGAAACAGCTGGTGATGAAATATGTGGGACAACTCAGTTTTAGCATGTTCTCTAACAGCTGTACCACAACTCAGATGAATGATACAATCTTGAATGTCAATACATGTACTTTTGGGTACAGAGAGGAAACTGATGACAATGAGAGCATTGTGGTGAGCACACCACACATTGTTGTGCACATTGCCAATTGAGGCATACAGGGGGTAATATTCATTGTTGCCTGTACCCATGGAGACAGTAGTTTTGTTACTACTGAGGATGATTGGAACAAACATTGATCCATGTGTGCTTGGATCCTTTGATATCTCGTCCTGAGAGCATGTTAGTGATGAAGTTGTAAGGACATATGAAAGACATACAGCCTGTTGCTATGCCCAGTCTCCAGACATAAAATCTTTCCATCGGCATGTATTGTCCGATGCATCATACTCTTGAAATGGAACAAAGTCAATTTCACCTTTATATGTGGGGTTTGCTAGCATGTTATGCACCATCAGACGTGGGTCCCTGTACCAGACCTCATAATCTTTGTTCATCCATGGAGGGGTATCATGTTCAGGGTGTTCCCCCATGTATCAAACCAAGAGACATTGCCAGGGGACATTGCCAAGTTGTGTGGCATTGATTACCCTGTGCAAATCCTTATGATTGACAAATGGAGGGGAGCCATTGTGTTCTAACAGTTGTGCAGCCATTAAGTCGAATAATTGGTTTGTAGCTGCGTTAGACATATGAGATTGTTTGAAAACAAATTCTGCTGTTGCAAATTCCATATCATTACAATATGGACTCCAATCAAGAGGAGACTTCGGTGGAGGAAGAGTTGATGGAGTTCCGGGTGGTAGAAACATGCCATCAGCTGTGCATGGTGTAAAGAGTTGATTCTTGGTGGGCTATACAAAAGGTGTTTACCTTAAGACTCCAAAGTATGAGTGAGATGTTCGTCCCAAAGAGACTGCCTGTAGGATTATCTCTTGATATAAAAATGCAAGAGGTATCTTGTGAAGATCAAAGGAGAGAGAAGGAAAAGATACCTCAAGTACATTCAGAGTTCTGAAAAATTGACCAAAGTGTCTGATGAGTTGTCTGAGGTATCTGGTTGAGGTCCAACGTCAAGAAACAAAGGTCCAAGGTTGCGTGAAGCTTCCAGTGAAACAACAAGGTTTCCGGTGAAGAATATGGTGGTTTTGTCGAAGTATAGAACTTGCATAGATTAACTAGTGAAGTCTATCGAAAGACTTGAGGAAATCAATAAGCAAAATGACAGCAGTCAGGCCAAACAATCATTCTGAATGAACAAACTGGTGTGGTTGGGGAAGATCCTGACCAGGTACAACTGGATGGCATGCATGCATGTGCTGAGTGTGGCCTGAAGAGTTTCAAAACCAGCATAGACAGCCCAGAGACAGGCATGGAAACTGGAGGGCACAGTGGAGAGGCGTCGCCTCGACACGTGGTGCAAGCAGATGATGGTGTGAATCTGTGCTACTGCCTGGGAAAATGCTACCTAAGTGTCCTCTCTACAGGGTCTGAGACCTCCTGAACCCTGAATCCCTAACTGAGAATGACTCCTAAGAAGTCCCTGAAGCCCAAACATCCTACTACAACAACAAGTAGGGTATTTTCCGGGTGTCATGTAGGTTGTGCTGGGTTGACAGAACACATGGAATACTTTGAAATCTAGTAAAATTTCTGTTAGACCCTGGCTGGCAATATTGGATAAATAATTACATGTGCTTTTGGTGCCGTTGAGACAAGAATGGGTGCTGCCCTGGAAAAGTTTGGGTGAAATGGACAGTTATGTCACCAGTCCACCAGAAAAATATTGGCGGAACTGACAGTTATGTCACTGAGGAAAGGTTCTGGTGAACATACTTCTGGTAAATGTAATTACACCACCGGAAAGGTTCTGGTAAACATTGATACTCACCACACTAGGTATTTCAATGTAATTGATTGGTGTGGATCATGTTGTTGAACACACCATTATTGTGCCGAAAAAGCACTGGTGAATATCATGCTCCAGGCACTTGCAAGTTAGATTAGTACATCAAGCTATGAAGTAGGGTCAATGAATTATTCAGAGTCAGCTTTCGACTTCAAATTTTGAAGAATGAAGCGAAACTCACCTTGAACTTTAGAACCCACCTCCTTCAGATCTCTTCATCCTCTAAAGTCCTCTATTAACACAATGTCTCAGCCTGATACAATTACAAAGCACATAGGAACTTGACCTAAGAATGCAACTCAGCATCCAGGACACATTTTGACCGAGGGTTATGGAAAGAGACGTACCGCTGCTCAAAAGGCCGCTGACAATAAGCATGAAAGAGAGGCAAAGGAGGCAAGTAAAAAAGCTCTGCAGGAAAGCTATCAATGTATTGCTACTTTGCAAGCACAGATGCAGGCTGACCAAGATGCTGCATGCTGTAGAAGAGGAATTGGTAGTGTAGGTAATAGGGTGGTATGAGATGTACTCAAGTAGTCCTCAATAAGCGAGATGTGTGTTGACCCAAGGGGATTGCTACTGAGTATGTGGAGGGAAACACTGGACCGGGTGTTTGGTCAAGCCTGGTAAGGCATGCGATGATGAGTGAAGCGTGAGCAAGCAAAAGCAACATGAAGCGCTAATGGGCAATAACGAGTGATGATAAGCGACGATGAGCGACTTATAATAGGAGTGGGTGCTAAGCGGAAGTGATGTGCGCATGCAGGTGGTGGAGTGGAGCAACTCTTAATGAGTTGGAAAACAAATTGACAGAGTTTCTAGTAATGTATGGCAGCGGGCACTCATATTGTACTTAGATTCTTAAGGTTGATTGGTAGATACAAGGGAGAACTTAGACTTAGAGTCCAACAATGTGCGGTGTAGGTAAACAACTTTTGCTGGACACTACATGAAGTGAGTGTCTAGCAAAATATATTTGTTGTGGTCTAGCACAGCCTAGTCTGCTATACTTGCAGAACAAGTGCATTTGACCTGAGGGGTTAACTGCCAGTAGTAGAATAATTAGTTATGCGAAAAGGAAGATAGTCTGAAGTGTGGGAAACAAAGTCCGAAGGTATAATTACGAGTCCGATGTCAAAAAAGTGGGGTCCGATGTTTTTCGGGTTTCAGGTTAGTGGGTATTGTCAGATATCATCGGGTTAGCATCGGGTTAGGAAAAGAATGTCGGGGATAGTGAACAGCAGGTTACTGTCGGTGTTTTTGGAGTGTTTCTAATAAAGAATGGATGATATTTGCAGAATTCAGTGAAGAACTACAGATATCTAATGACCTCCTCCTACTCGGAGGTAGAAAGGTAAGATAAGTAAGAAGGAGGTATGCAAAATATATAGTGTCTATGTAGAATTTCGGAGTGCTATAGGCGAAAGTAGTAACACTAATTTTCAGGTCTGATGTCCTATGTAATAAGACATGTGGTACTGCGGACATGTAATAACACTTTCTACAATGTTAGTGATGTGAAAACTGATAACTGTGCACCTAGTGGGGATAGATACAATAGGACAGGACATAGGGAGAACAAATGTGCAGGAAAATATCAGATCCGAAGTGGCCGATGCGTGGGAAAATCTGGCTTGCATCAGGTTTGCGTCGGGTTAGTGGATTAATGTCAGATTGAGTGGGTGAGTGTTGGATAACATTGGGAAGTGATTCTTGTGTGACAGGCTTTTGACATGATGTGTGAAATAGCTGAATATGAGCCCAGTGCTAGCTCAAGTGCTACAGTGGGCAAAAAGATAATCATTATACAGTTTAGGTGTGAGTATATATACTAAGTAATATTAAGCACTGTCAAGCGCTAAAGTGAACCGAGAAGCGAAGCAGATACAAGATAATATGTAATATAAGGGTCCATGACAAAAACATATGGAATATGGTCATAAGTGCCAGAGATATGTCAGAATAAATGGGAATATGATGGGAATACGCACCAACGAACCAAACAGACATGGAATGGATGGATGGAGGACATGCGACAGGACCAAGGATGCATGCCTGAAGCACTCATGCGTGCGAGCAGCTGATGAAGTGCTTGAGTGCACTGGGTGAGATATGAGTCGCACTATATTAGGAAGTGATTGAGACATTGGGAATTTAGATTCCTGCAAGCCTACAGAGATATTAGTCTCTACAGCATGCTAACACACCTAAGCCTAAGTGTCCTCATGCACACCCAGTGGGGAAGGCTGTGAATACCTTGAAGACCTCCAACTCGATCATGGATGGTGGACAGGTAGAGGTAGAAATTGTTGCTGATAAGCTGGTTGATACCGAAGGCCAGGGTGTAGGTAAAAAGTTAGCAGCTGGTGCTAACATCCAACATCCTGCAAGTGACAAGAAGTTGGAGGTGCCAGTATCAACCACAACTAAGAAGAAAAGGGCCAACAAACAGGTGGTGAGAGATGCAGTCAAAGCCACTGGTGCTGTTATTGATGGATCAACTAAGGCATGTGATGGTGATGTTGATCAAAAGACATCTGATGTGTAAGCTTGTTTATCTCATGCAAAACTATGAGCCTCCTCCAGCTGACTGAAACCACTCTTTTTTTCTTCAATCTTGCTGGATATGATTATGGTCCTGCAAGTTCCAAAAAATATGCACTTGCTGGACATATCCTGGGGTGGGTGTTAGGGATTCTCGACATGCCTATCTCAAAGCCAGACTCCAAGGCGAACACTACTACTTGGTCTTCCATTCATCCACAGTCTACCACCATTTTCTCTAAGCTCACAAAGGGGAGCACTGTCAGCAGCAATGTCACACCTCCATCTATGCTTACTGGTGCTTCCAACTCTGAAGGCTTTGCAGGGTCTGAATTCTCCAATCTGTATGTATCCGATGAGGAAGACAATCTGCTCGCAATACCCCTTTCTCGTCTTACAAGCAAAAAGGCTTTCAAGGTGAGTCTGATCTTATCTGTATTTACATTCGATGTATTTTAGCCAAAGCTGCAGGGTATTGCAATTGTTTCCAAGGGTTTTGACAAGGTGGAGCCTTCAATTACCCATTGAAATGCACCCTTGGTACCTAAGCAGCCTGACATGATTGAGGATGCTGACAACGAGGATATCTTTGGCGACAAGGACATTTTTGCCGACATCCACGGCCATCTCATGAATATTGATGACTCCAACCCTGCCATACAGCCCACTTTTCTGGAAGACTACAGTTTGGATGACAGTTTTGAGCTACAGGTCTTGGACAATGATTCTGACCTTGAACCTCCCTCCCTGGCTCAAAAACCTACATCCTGCTCCATCTTCCCAGACTTTGACTTGCCAGTTGCAAGTCAGAAGCGCAAACTATCACCTCTTAGGGACAATGACAACTTATTGACATCATCAGAAGTTGAAATTGTAGAGGGCACCAAGAACGAACCTACTGAGCCAGTGCCCATGTGCCATTTGACGTCTGCAGTACACTTTTGTTTCTTAACAGTATATTTTACTGATTTGAATATGTTAGACTAATGTCACTGTGATGCTCAATGCACCCCCAGCAAAGTGGGTGAAGTCCAAGTCCTCTGGTATATGTATTCCTCCCATGTCATTGCTGCTCTATCCAGAGCAATCACACATTCTGCATATAGGAAGAAGCATCTTTCCTAGGGTTATCAGGATGGAAACAAGTGAGCAAGGGAGTTCATCCCCACCATCATTTGCTATATTGGTGATTGAGATGAAGTATGGACTCTTTCTGACAATATACTATGTCCCATCTTGCAGTCAATTTGGAATGTGGTCTACAAGACCATGACTCAACACATGGTTGAAGCTGATGGGGTGGTCATTGCTCTGGTATGTTTTTATTTCAGACACTATTTAATTCTAATCATTTTGTTTTTTATCAGACTCTTTAGCACTTGTCAGAATGGTGCAATACTATTAGCAATGTGGCCCTTGTCATACTCACAAACTTCATGACTTCACAGGGCGATCTCAAGACTGATCAGGACCACAAGGATTTTGCTTTGGCATTGCTTGAAAAGCTTAGTTTCTTGTTTGGGGACATTAGGGAAGACAGAGAGATGTCCAGTCCATCCCAATCTGATCTCATTATTCAGGTCCTCATGCAGCACAAATGTGCCATGTTCGGTGCTGTCAGCCTGTTGGGAATGAATAACACAGTGCTGGGACACTCAAAGAGTGCTCTTGGTCTTGCCGCAGCAGCAGTGTGTATCTTCTGTTCTCTCCTCATACAGCTGGCTGATGTTCACTTGTTTCAGATAGAACATGTCATTAGGCTTTTTGCCAATGGAAACCTACTTTTAAGTGACATCGATACTAGTGGCAATGGTCGAGGCAACAAGACTCCCCTCAATATTAATCCATCCACAGGGAGGGAGAGCAGCATCCCCTTGGCATTTTCAGATTCCAATTGGGGTGCGCACATCAGGTCTTACATAAGGTCCATCAACTGCCTGCCAGACTCAGTCATCATCTGAAGCTTGGAGCTTGCACAGAGCCTCACCATGAAGAGGTGCGGCACATGGATGGACAATGCTATGGACAAGGAATCTGAGGATAAGCAAGCACTCATCTGTTAGATGATATTTTCCATCATTCTTATCGCTTACTATCTCACATCTGACTGAACTTTTGCACTACTAGTAGTACCACTGGACTGCCTTCATTTCATCACTTCCCTCATTTTGTTGCTTCCCTTCAAGTTGTCTCATTGCTGCCCTACTAATGTCATTATACTGTATCTGCTGCTCTGTCCCGGTGTCTTTAGCTATGACCTCACACTGGCTAGTACTTGTTATGCTACTTTTGTCTCCTTTGTTACTTTCTATTTCTACATTCTATGCAACAAGTGTGATTAAATGCGAATAAGTTAAAAATAAGGAGGTAATCATCATTTGAAAAGTAGTTTATTCTCAGATAAGTGCAAAAAAAGTTGAAAATAAGCAGGTGATCATCATTTGAAAAATAGTTAATTCTCAATAAGTGCTAAAAAGAGTGCTAAAAAAGTGCTAAAAGTGCAAAAGAACGGAAAAAAAGAGGAGGGGATCTACTTTTAAACTTGTCCCAGCTTGTGACAAGGAGATGATGTAACACTCAGGTCGGTGCTGGGCATGTATCCTGTCAAAATCACATCTTACATTCCTGTCATCCTGCATTCTGGACCCGGACCTGTCATACAAATCATTTCTGGAAATCCAGATCAGGCCAACTTCTATCTTTTGTTTGGATCCGACCCATGTCTATCTTCTGTGCCCTTTCCCTTTGTACGTTCCTTCTCAAGTTAGACTGTACTCATTTTCCGTACCTCATTTCATTTCCACCTTTATTTTACTATGTTCTCATTTCTGTCTTCATTTACTATTTTCCGATAGACTAGTGTTAGACTTTTCTATACACTCCATCCACAACCTCACATAGCTTTGGACTGCACTGACTGATTCTCCATTAAGTCCTCAGTAGTATATAAACCCTGTAGAATCTTTGTACTTCCTTAGTTCAAATATTATCTTAGACTCTGCTCATTCCCTCCTCCATCCGACTTGAGTTTCTCCTCTTGTTGTGCTCCGCTAGTCTTAGGATTGACTCCTATAGACTTGTCACCTCTGCCTCTACCTCTGGTAGTCCTCTGCTGTTTCCTTTCTAGTTTGGACATCGTCCAGATTAGTCTTATTGCTTGTTCCTGAATGTCCAATGGAATTCCTGCGCATTGGACATTGTTTGACAGCCTTCAGAAGTTAGAGGCACATACTTGGGTAAGGGGCGCAGTGCACAAGCTGAAGCCAAGCCCTTCAGATTTGACCCTTGAGTATGTTCTTAACAATTTCCTGACATCTTTCCAATCCTTTGAAAGTTCCATGCACTTGTCTAAGTCGTCCAATGGTTGTCTGTCTGTTTCCAAGGCCTTTTTTAGCTTTTCCAGTCCTCCATACCATGTCCTGTCCTTGTCTGTTTGACTTCGCTGGTGCGTTTTTTACTTGGTTATCTGTTATTGATTATGTCTAGGGGCACATATATCAAAAACCCTTGCTAATATGTATAGATATGCACCCTGTGCATTATTACATATATACCTTCATAGTGGCTCACCTTGAGTCTTATTACATTTCAGATGGCTTATCTCGCTACAGTTTTCGCCCATGCAGATTCTGGACTTTCACGCAGTAGGATATAATTTGGCCCACTAATACTCGCAACTTACTTCACTTCCCTTGCTATGAGTCATAGTTAGTAGAGTCACCTTCAGATATTAGTACTTTGCACAATCAATCTTTTGTTCATTCAGAATGATTGTTTGGCCTGACCACTGCCATTTTACCTATTAATTTCCTTAAGTCTTTCGACGGACTTTGCTAGTTATTCTGCAAAAGTTCTATACTTCAATAAATCACCGTATTCTACACCAGAAACATTGTTGTCTCACCGGAAGCTTGCTGGAAGCTTCACACAACCTTGGACCTTCGTTTCTTGACGTCGGACCTTGACCGGACACCTTGGACAACTCATCAGACAGACAATTCTTTTGAACTCTGAGCATACTTGAGGTATCTTTTCCTTCTCTCTCCTTTGATCTTCGCAAGATATCCATTGCATTTTTATATCAAGAGATAATCCTACAGGCAGTCTCTTTAGGACAAATGTCTCACTTGCACTTTTGAGTCTTAAGGTGATACCTTTTGTATAGCCCACCAGGAATCAACTCTTTACAATGATTTCGTTCTTGTCTTAAACTTGTTCGCTCTTATGTGGGAAAATAAGTAGCAAAAAAGGCAACTAAGGAATCTGCGAATTTACTGATGTGCGCGGTGTGGTGACAACAGTCCTGCTGAGTGGCAGGGACAAAATTGGGTCTAGCTAATGCCTAGCTGCTATGTCTATACAGACACATTTGACCCTAAAGGGATTTGCTATTAGAAGGATGATGGATATATGTGAACCCGAGAGCACGCTGAGCATGGGAAAATAGTGGACAAGGTACATGTGAGGTATAGGAGTGTATCTGAGGTTATCCAAGGCATGGGAACACATGGCCGAAGGTGCAGAAAGTGCAGGAAAGTGTGGACAAGGTATAGGAAAGTCAAGGAACAAGGTTTAGAGAGTGAGGGCAAAGGTATATTGTGAGGTAAGGGATCCTAGGTATAGAGAGGTATAAGGGACCTAATAGGGGCTAAAAAGTGCGCACTACTAGGGACTACTTTGAAGGCAAACCTATAGGGTGAGGCATACAGTACGAGGGAAGTATACAGTCCCAGAGAAGTGTAGTGAGTAGTCCAAAGTATAGGCAACTTATACCATCTAGAATCCCACTTGGAGTAGGAAGAGATAGGACATATAGTAAATAGGTAAGGACATGTAATAAGGCTGCAACACATTTTACAAGCCTCGAGGTAAGGAAATTCACATACCAATGGGGTTTGGACAGACTATGAATGGACAAGGAACCTTCCTAATGCATTTCCAAGGTATCCAAAGCGCAGGAATGCGCATTCAATGTGGCCGATGTGCAGGAAAGTGCAGATAAGCGGATGCGCAAAGCGTGGGAAAGCAGGTTTGGTTTCAGACAAAGGTTACTTGCAAGACAAAGATGGACAATGATAATGGAACTGATAGTGTCCTATACTCCTTGACACATATATGAAAATACCCTGTTTCCTGCCCAGCATGGGTCCGAGCATCACAGTGGGTTATTATGACACAGACAGTCCAACCATCATTTGATCCAGGGCATGATCATGCATTGATTGTCACTTGCAGCCAAGATTATGATAGCAAATCAGATCAACAAGTGCATCAGTAAATTCACACATTTCTTTTTTGTACTTGCCATTACTTCCTTTGAAAACTTGCATTAGTAAACCACAACAATTCTGTAGGAGCTGTACAGTGTTAAAGTGCCACAGCTTGGTCCCCATCTGTGTAGCTCTATACAGATCTGCACAGAACCTCCAGTGCAAGAGAATTATCTAGTAAATAGATCAAAACAAAGTTGCAATTTTGACACTCTAAAAGAGCAAACAGCAGGAATTGAACTTGAGACAGTACAAATGTGTGCAATAACATAGTTACCAACTACACTATGACACTGGAAGCATGAATGACTCTCACAGTGAAAAATCTTAAAAAAATCCTAAAAAAGGTTAAAGTGAATTTCATGATTTTGTGTTACCAAAAATGTTAGACAATATTTTTGCTTTTTCCCACTTCTTTATGATGAAAAATATTGATCTCAGTTAAATATCACATCAGGTTTTGTTTCCAATATTGCATCAGCCCATACTTGAATAATTCAAACAATTTTTGACTTTGTATACTGGTAGTAAACAAAGTTTTATCATGATTTGTTGCAGCACAAAAGTTAGTGTTTTTTTTACCCTTTTCTCAATGTTTTTGTTGACAACATATCTTAGTTGAAGTTTGAATTTTGTATTAGATAATATTTAAAATTGTAATCAAACTTGGATTATTATTTTAGTCCTCACCAAAGTTTATCTTTGTTCAAGATTTGAATAGACTCTTTATGATGCTGATATTTTAAATCTTGTAGTCAAAAATCTATGAACTTTGTAGTGGAGCACACACTTTAAATTTACCATATATCAAAAGTGTGTTTGTATTTAAAATGCAGTTTATGCAAGAATTTTGATTCAGTGTATCCATTAAATGTTGCTCATATTTGAAATGCAGTCTTTACAAAAATTTTAATGAGATTTAAAATAATGTTCCTGTTAGGATATTAGTCCAAGTGTTTGGATGATAATCCAAATGCTCAGAACATGCTATAAGGACTGAAGAGCAGGAAGTTCATACTCAATTCACATAAACTGGATATCAATCCAAATACTTAGAACACACTGTAAGGACTGAAGAGCAGAAAATCTGCACTAATCTACTTTGAAATGTCAATCCAAATGCTGAGAACATGCTATAAGGACTTAAGAGCAGAAAGTCTATGCTAATCTACTCTCAGATGTTAATTTACATAAACTGGATATCAATCCAAATACTTGGTAAGTAACTGCACCAGGCTGTATTACAAATTTACAATCCCCCCTCCCATCCTCAAAACTGTGCTGTGGTCAGTCATTATCTGGACCTAACTGGGATTCACTGTAATCTAAAACAACTGAATTTTCCATGGCCTGTAAATATCTGTGAGTGGAGTTTGCTGCTGGTACTGGTGCACAAACAAAGCAGACAGAATACATGACAAACATTCTCTATATAAATGGTTCACCTGTGGAGGTAAGAACTAAGTGCTTTGATGACATGGCTAGATAGAAGTGTGTAACTTAGATTTCATCCAGTGTGTAGGTCTGAGGTAAGTGTTTTGATATATGCTTTCATCAGCATCTACTTCCAAGAAGTGGGAAAGAAGTATGACACTACAACAGGCCGAAAGATATGTTGCAGCTGGATGGATCTTTTCATTGTGAAATATGTCAACCCAATACAA